CTTACAAGACACAATCACACTGACAGATGATGTTACAGTTGTGTCTGGATGTGTTGCTGTGCAGGTGTACTGTCCCGAATCTTCTGCTGTCACATTCTGGATGACAAGTGTAGCTGAGCCACTGTCATTTTGCAGGTCAGTGTAAGCTCCAGTATCTTTGCTGTTTGTTTTAGAGCTAAGGTCTCTCCACATGATAACAGCTGGAGGAAAACTTTCAACACTGCAGGTCAGATTCAGAACATCTCCCTCCTTTATGATTGTATTCCCAGTGATTTGAGGTGTCCTTATATCTGTGGAGCACATTGCAGTAGTTTTTTTCAGAATGAAGAAAATAATTGAAATAAAATGGGAAAAAATAATAATCAGCTTAGTTGTCCCCTGTGGTAACAACCATCATAAAACTCTTCAAAAAGGTAAAGTCAAATTTGTCTCCAGATATTTTGCTGTACAGATGCATCGATATACAGTTCAGTGTATTCTTATCACATTTGGGATGACAAGCTGATCCAGTGTCATTGTGCAAATCAGTTTCATTGTAAAGGTCTGTGCTGTCAGTTAAGTGTCAGGACTGACAAAGCCATCCACCACTAGCAAATGTCAGTGTTGCTGTCTTTGACAGGAAATTGTAAGCAAGGAACATAGACGTTAACATAGATGCCAGATACTGTTGACAGCAATGCTAAGCATTACACCCAGAGCACAATGTGCCACAACTTTCAGTTAAGTTATTTTAAATAATAAGAAATGGTTTCCAATTGCTCTTTAATACATACATGTTGAGGCAGCTTGACATATTTAAAAGTGTCTGAAGACAATATTTTTATTTACCTGAGTGAAAAAAGCTCTGTCTGAAGGATAAAATTGCTTACTCACACATCACTGTTATGTTGATGTTTTCTTGCAGGGTATTGTTCATGTGTTTCGCTGTACAGACGTACTGTCCAGAATGTCCAGTTGTACCATTAATTATGTAGAGTGTGGCTGATCCAGTGTCATTGTGCAGGATTATATCAGAACCAAGTTTAGACCACATAATCAGAGATGGAGGAAAACTTTCAACACTGCAGGTCAGATTCAGAACATCTCCCTCCTTTATGATTGTATTCCCAATGATTTGAGGTGTCCTTATATCTGTGGGGCTATTGACAGGGCGCGGTGAACTTTGCTCTGCTCAGCCCAGACATTTAACAATTGGCAAAATTTACAACTTTTCATCTTCAACTATACTTCTTGGTGGGCTCTCGGATCTGATCTGTCTTGGTGTTCCTTGAACCATCATATTATGGTGCTCAGTGGCTACAACAGTACTAAAGATGATACAGCATCTGCTGCCACACTTTCATCTTCAACTTCTTCTTGTGGGTTGGACTGATTGTCTTGTGTTTCTTGACCATCATATATGTGCTAGGTACAACGTAAATGATACAAGTCAATTACCAGCCTCCAAAAACCCAGTATTGCAGATTAGATTGTGTCTAATCTGCAATACTGCAATACTAATGTCAAAATCATGTCATGCAGTTCTTTCTTCTGTGGGTTGAAAATCAGGTTGATTCGAACCTAAATTACTTTTTCACAATGCTTACACATTCCTTACATTTTTCCATTAAGTTTAAGTTGTGGTGACAGAAGACAGAAATCATGGTGCTGACTGTACTATAAGACATACTATCTAACAGAAACTTCAATTTATGCATTTTTTTTTTTGGTAAAACTCCTAATTAAAGATGAAAGTCTATTACATTGATTGTTTGATTAAAAATCTGATGTGGCTGTGTACAGAGCAAAACTACAGAAATTCTGTCTTTATCCAACAAATTATGGACTTATATGTGGTTCAGCATTCCTATGTTATAGTCCACAGTGTTTTCATGAAAGTAATTCTTAATGAGAAATTAACTTTCGAGGGAGTTGTTTATTCAAGATATTGGATTCCATGGAATGTCTCTGATAATGTCTTGTTTTGCCTTGATGATTTAGGAGGAAGACAGTTATAGGTCTTAGAAAACTTACCCTCGTTGTTTTGGGTGTAATACATGAACATAGGGTTAGGAGGAGAAGTTAAGTGCTGTGTAGCGCTATAAACCAAGATCAAAACCACAATTAATGTTGTTCGGTAGCTGTCGATCTGTCCCTGTTTTTTTAAAATTGGAAAACTTTGAAGCAAATATAAATCAAATATAATTTTGATTATGTTTGCATGTTTTGAAATTAATTATATCTATCTTATACACATAAAAGAGAATAGTGTTAATCATCTCTTTCTACACACTGTCCTGAGTTTTCTGTGGCATATACTAATCAATATTTCCTTAAGGCCAAATACTGGATAAATGATAGATACCAAAACGCACCTGAATAGAGGTTAGGCAACGGTATGTCTCAAACGCCAAACGTGGCTCCAAGTCTATCAATAGGAGTAAAAAAAACATGAGCAAGTTACAAACAGGCACTTTGATGTCGTTATAGGCAACATCCATAACTTGTTCTCAATTAAGTATAAAGCTTGGAGAGAGAATACTGTTACGTCAACAGAAAAATCTAATGAATTTAAAACTATACGAAAGTTGTCTCCGAAATAGAAAACCAGAGTTGGGTATGATATTCTAACATAATTTACCATAGACAAATAGTAGAGACCATATGTAATATTTCAGTAATGAGGATATTTGTGCAACAATTAGAATACTTAAAATTACTGTTTGGCATTTATAAAACATTAGAAAAATCAATTAATTTTGAGTAAACTTATGATTAATTAAATGGAAACTAGAATAAAATAAAAAAAAAAAAAAAAATAATAAATGAAAAAAGACAATGCCAAACACTTTGAAATTACCAAATGAACCATTTTATATATTCAATACGTTGTTCAAAATTGAAGTATCAAGTCAGTGTGGATGCGATGTCTGGACCCATCAACTTGATGACTTGTTACCATCTCCAAAGTCTCATCCAAATTTCCAGAATTCTTTGTTTTTTTTCTGAATAAAAGGGTTTTACATTATTAAAGTCAAGTGTAAATGCATCTATTTAAAAAAACGAAAATATAATAAAAATAAGTGTCGTACCTTGAACATTTTTTAATCAAACAGCAAACAACTGCAGAAAGAACTACTCCAATCAAAAAGGCAATGATGATTTCTAAATATCCCACGTTCAAAACCGATGAGTCAGCTGTACTCAAATGGAACAACATGAAAAAGGTAATTTCAAAGATGCTTTCAATTATATACAGTCCAATTAATTGATTTTCTAATGTTTTTATAAATGCAAAGGTCTCACTTATGAAAATTAGAATACATACCCGCTGTATCGGAGACACTTCGGATCATTAGATTTTTTTTTGCTTCTCCCTTTTCATTGTTGCTCACACATTCAACAGTGCTGTTGCCATGGTTTTTTACCTAGTGAGACTGACAGTGCTGTTGACTGTGTGGTTTGAACATCTTATGATAGGTACTCTTGTGTGGTATTCCTAGGAGGGCCATTGATGTTAGGTAAAGGAAACCCTTCACTGATCACACACAGGTCAAAACCTCTGCTTGAAGCACACATTCAGAGACATCCTGGATCTTTGAAAACCCTGAAAACACATGACCAGAAATATAAACAAGGTAAGGTATGATTTTAAGTGTAAATATGAACTTCACATCAAACAACCGTACTATCTACTTACAAGACACAATCACACTGACAGATGATGTTACAGTTGTGTCTGGATGTGTTGCTGTGCAGGTGTACTGTCCCGAATCTTCTGCTGTCACATACATACTGTCAATACATAGATTACTTTTTCCCCATGGTGATCCTAACCACCATCATAAAATCATTCAAACTGGTAAAGACAAATTTGTCTTCAAATGTTTTGCTGTACAGATGTAAAAATGTACAGTCCACAATAGTCTTATCACATTCTAGATGACAAGTGTAGCTGATGCAGTGTTGTGCAGGTCAGTGTAATTTTCATTGTAAAGGTCTGTGCTTCCCTCATTAACAGTTATATTCCCAGTTATCTCGAGTTTCCTTTTATCTGTGGCACAGATTTGGTTTATTAAGGAGGTAAATAAAGCGCGCACAAATAATTATTTTCTATTTTTAAAAAAAAAAGAAAAAAAAAGAAAAGAAAACCAGTGATGGGAATAACGGCGTTACAAGTAACGGCGTTACTTTTTTCAGTAACGAGTAATCTGAACTAATTACTATTCCTATCAGTTACAACGCCGTTACAGTTACTAACAAGAAAATGCGGTCCGTTACTATTTTTCAACAAACAGACGGTTGAAGCTGTGTTCAGCTTACCGCATCTTATATCAGTTGCACGGAAGTAGCGACTGTAAGTAATCTGCGCACTACAACTGTCTAAGGACAGTGCTAGCAAGCACACTCTGCTTATGAGCAAAAAACAAAACAGGGGAAGTTTTAGGAGTGACAGAGAGAGAGAGAGAGAGAGAGAGAGAGAGAGAGAGAGAGAGAGAGAGAGACGAGACAGAAAAAAGAGAGAGAGCGAGTTTTGAGATGTGAGAGATTTGTGACGTTTAGCGTGTTTGGAGTGTGTAGTTAATGTGTTGTCTTGTGTAGTTAGTGTGTAGTGTTGTGGATAGTTTTGTGTTGTGTGTCAGAACAATGAGGCGACTGCTGTCTCCAGGTAGAAACAGGAGTGATACACCTGCTGCTGTCAGACCTGCAGGTATCAGGCTGTGATGTTCTCCTTTATAGTGGACAGAAATTATTTTTTGGAGTGGCACAAATAATTTGTGTGGCATCTTATTGAATGCAGAACAGCTGATTGTTCTGTAAATAGTTTGAAATGGTTTTTAAAAAATAGGTAAAAGGTAAATGGATGCAAATAACTTTGTTGTTTGCAAAACTTGTGCATAGATTTTAAAACTGACAATTTATATTTGCATTTAAAGTTATGAAATATGATTCAATAAACATGTTTGTGGTTGTTACAGTAAAAATATAACTTTTTCTACTCTGATTTTATGTTATTTGTCTGATTTTAGATCCATCCATCCATCCATTTTCATCCGCTTTGTCCGGGGCCGGGTCACGGGGGCAGCAGCCTAAGCTGCATAGCCCCTGGAATCCCTGTGACACGATAAGGTAGCGATTCAAGGAGGGGTGATTTTAGATCAATTGTGTTAATACAGTATGTAAAAATGAAAACATGAACTGTAAATTCAGACACGTGAGGTTGTGCTGAAAAGAATGATACCAAACAAGGCAAAGTAAATAGTTTTTAAAGGTAGAAATGTAGGAGGAAAATCAAAAGTAGTTAAAAATGGCCAATTATACCCTGGACCCCAGAGGGATAAACATTTTTTTTTTAAAGTAACGCAATAGTTACTTTTCAAGTAATTAATTACTTTTAGAATATTGTATACTCAGTTACTTTTTTGAAGA